CGGCGGAGCTCGCAGTGACACAGCGCTCCGTGAGCTCCCGTTTCGGGGAGAGCGTGCAGCCAGCCGGGCGCTACTCCCGTGTCTGCAGACACTCCACAACGCTCTCTTTTAAGGGCATTTTCTTTTTCTGATTATTGCTTTTTTTTTTTTTTTTAAACCACACATCTCAAGCAAATCTCACTCAAAAGCCTGCACTATTTCTATGCAACTCTTTCACAAGCTTGCATCTGCAATCACCTCACAACCTCACAGAAAACTCAGTTTATCTCAAGCAAATAAGCTTTAAGGAGGCAAGCAAGCTAATCCATTCAGCTGCTGATACAGCAGGCAGATCCAGCTGAGAGATTACCTATCACCTAACTTTGTCCTAAAATGGTTTTTAAAAGCAAGTCTCAAATTTAAAACTTTCTGCTAAACCACGGTGCATACAACTGGATTATGGCAAATCTGAGGAAAAAAAAAAAAAAAAAAAAAAAAAAGACTTCTGTGAGCAGGACTTGGGTACTTGGCACTTTGGCCATAGGAACACACTGGGAACTGCTTTTCTGTCTGGCAAGTCACATGTAGGACTTTGTCCCAACAAGAGAAATAGATCCTCCCGTAGTATCAAAGGTGGCCAACAATTTCATACACTTTATCCACTTGTTTAAAGAGTCTAGACTCAAAAGCAAAGATAGACACAAAAACAAATAGCACAGAAAAATGATTATTCCAAAGCAAAATTGTTTTCAGGCTTTATATCAAGCTTATACCACTCATGAAAGTGCACACAGTCATAAAGAAAATTATATCCACTGTAGTTCAGTGCAGTACTAGAAATAACCAAGGCTCTTCCATACGGAAGTCTCAATTTGCAGTGTTTTCTTCAAGTTGAATTCACATCTGGAACTTATTTACATTTCACTTAAGTGCTTGTTTTCTCAAGAACAGAGCTGCTTATACTTCCTTGAAGAAAAACGCAGAGACAAACCACATGAAGACAAGGGTGCTGACTTGAGCGCACACAAGGCCTGTCCGTTCTAGATTATTCAAGAGGAAAAACAAAGGAAGACCTAAGGGTACGACATGGAAGACAGATGCTGGGAAAGAACAGCAGGCAAGTTACGCTTGGAAAGTAAAACAAGAATAAGGTGTCCAGACAAACAGTAACCTACAAGAGACTTAACATAATGTTAAATCCACACCACCATGACGTGAATCCAGGTTTTGTTAGTGAGGAACAACCCCCTCCCCTTGGGAAGGGCTAGAAGCGGCGCCTGGGCTGGTGGTGACCGTGAGGCGATGAGACGGCGGCGCTGAGCACGAGACGTGGGGCTGCCCTCACGGAGCGGCAAGAGGGCTGCTCGGCCGTGAGTCAGCGCCGCTCACGAGGAGGGCGGCCAGGGCCGGGCTCAACACGCACGGGAACCACCGAGACAGCACGGAAAACAAAAGGGAGCAAGAACCTTAAGGAGCAAATGAAAACACCAAAGGAAAGAAGTTCCCCTCCTTACTATTTACCCTGTCCAGCTTGAGGCAGAGGAACAGCTCACTGGGCTTGGCAGGAAAGCAGATATTGAGTTTGGAAAAGCAGCTTTGGTGTCGACCCCTGCTCAACACGTGAATCATGGACATCCCTCAAGCACCAAGAGCTGGCAGTCAAACGTCAGGAATCCAGAAAAGCAAACTTCTGAATCAACCTGCTCTAGAAATATTCCTAAGTTACATAAATAATGCTCAATTTTATCACGCTGCATCATTAGTAAATACCACAGGTTGAGAATGTCGCTTGTCTTTCTGACACTTCCAGCCCCCAGCCTTGTGCTTTAAACACTCTTGCTAATAAGCTGCTGGCTCCTGTGGCACCACTATGTGCTCCACAGCAGTGCTTCTGACTCACGGAGCTGAACGGTTGCTGGACTTCCCAAATGCAAAAAGTAAGTTTGAGATCTTGAGTTTGATTCATTCTGCTGGCATGGATGGCTAGTATTCATCAAAGTATTCTAGCATCACAAAAACCTCACTGAGCCCAGGTGTTTCCTTGTACTCCAGCAGATTCCTCTAAAAGGCTACTTTTACATATGATCTTCAACACAAAATATAGTCATAATAAATAAAAAGATAATAAGAACCTCTCATTTTAAAGTTCATTTATTAAATTATCTTGTCATGCAAAAAAGAATGTAGGTGGAACTGCTTGAGGAGCAGTTAGGTAAGTTACTCCAATTAAATCTAATATGCTTCATTATTTAACATATTTATACCAAAAACTTAATAGCCTCTGAAATAAAATAAGCATGTCACAAAAAAAGATGATATTTGTCACATAACAACTTGTCTTAAACTGATTTACCACACGGTATTACATTTAAGCTGAAAACTACAATGCTAGCAGAACACTCTAGCACAACAAATGATGCAGGCCTGAGCCCTGAGCCTTTTGAATATGGTTTTCAGCATGCCAGGATGTCTCACTTCTCAACCTCAGAGACATGGCAGGCTTCAAACTGTTTATTACTTAAATTCTATTAGTCAAGCATACCTACCTTTGGGTCACAGCAGACCATATGAGTCTATCTGGGCACAAAGTTCACCTCATAAGTAGTTTAAGTGATATGGGTATGTTATGGACTGGACTATTTGCATGTACATGGAGAACAACTATAATGCTAAGAGGAAAAGCATGCAGCTAGCCCATCATTTCTGTTCAGTGGCCTGAAGCTAAGGAACACTTGTTAGCAGACTCCATCACACATCCATTCTGTATCTATACTAATGGAGCCAGTATTTTACTACTGCCCTGCACCTCTGCTAACGTGTTTTGGCACTTCTTAGTGTGTACAGAGTGAACACTGCTATCTATGTGGCATTGATCCATAGAGGTAATAATAATAATAATAAAGGCTTATTCTCATCTAAATAAGGTATATTTTTTCACAGTACCTGTGAAACAATATCTCCAGTAATTTACTCTTCTCAGTGGTTCCAGTGAACCCTGTCATCTCACTGCCTTTTTTGTAAATAAATGCGTTAGGCTCTAAAGATTTATGCCAGAGATAGGAAAGAAGAGCCCACTGAGAGCTCTTCCCTGTCCTCTAATCACTTCTCCTCTAACATAAGTACCATTTCCAGAGATATCCCTGGTACAAGCTCTTTCACTTGCTTAGGATTCAGGATCTGCACTACCTTGATAGTGCAGAAAAAAGTATATATAAATATTTCTTTTTCTTTTAAAAAATGGTACTTCCTACTTACTAACACCTCTGCTTTTAGAAGAGAAAAAAAGAAATCTCTTTAAAGCCTTTACGTATGAACCACTTGAGGCAAGATAATCTTCATAAAATTGCAAGTGTTTTACCTGTCATCAGTGGAGTCAGGAAACTGGAGAGAGAAGAATATCTGAAAAGCACATGAAGAAGCTGGACTGGTTTCGACTTCTGTCAGACATCTTGAACACGAGTGGAGTGGGAAAAGGGGCAGGCAGCTTTACTCAAAGATGAGCAAGGGCACTTCAGGAAGGAGGAAAAGAACCAGCTGTGCTGAATATGCAGGCGCTGTGTCTCTGCATCAGGCTCCAGGGCCAACCCTGGCAAAAGCATCCTTGGCCAAGCAGCAGGCACCAATTCATGCAGCCGGTCTCAGATTCCATTTTTCATGCTGCTGATTTAAGTTCATGGGGTGAATCACTTGCATAGTTCACTTAGAAAAAAATGTTTTGCAGTTCAAGCTCACAGCATGAATGGCTCCTGACTATATAAAAACGTTCATAAGGGTAGGAAAGCATCAGAAAGGAAGGGCCACTCAGTTCTGCTCCTGGGGCTTGGCCAGGTATTTGCACAATGGCATCGAGTCCAACCTCATCAAAACTTCTCTATGGTTTTCCACGCAGAGGAAGGGAGTCCGGGGTAGGTCCGCAGCAGCTGACAGCACGAGTCCGTGCCCAGCTCTGAATCACCATCGTGCGACCCGTTTCCAGAGCCCCA